AAATGCAGTTGAGGAACGAAATTCAATCCCAGGTAGGTACTTCTGCTGATCCCGTGCATTCGTTGCATGACCCGCTACACTCGTATTTTTGGGCGGTGATCATTGGACTTCTACCCAACAGATCGCGGGTTTTAGCGCCTAGGATTGGGCATGGCTGACTGATGACACCTAATAAGCCAGAAATGGCGCCATTGCAGTCTATCCTGTTTTTGTCACGAATGCCTTTATGAAAAATCTTTTACCGCACTTACTGCTCATAGGTAGGCTGACCATCTCGCTGTTGTCCAGACTGACGACCATGCTGTCCCCACGACGCTCAATGTTCACAATGTGGTAGGCTCCGTCGTTGACCAGGGGTCGATAGCTATACTCAGCTCCATTCACATCCATCACCAGCCGTCCATCGCGCTGCAACGAAAATAAACAAACAAAAACAACATAAATTAATCTGCTGCTGGAAGCCTATCGCAGGCAAAAATGCGCCGAGGCGACGATTTTTGCGCACAAAAAACCGCGATAAGTGCCCAGACCGTCACTTCAAAAACACTACAGTCCTTTAAAGCCGGTTTTCGTGTGCGTGCGAGCTCTGTAGGTGTGTGTCGTGGTTTCTCCACCTGTACAAATTTAACTGGAGTCAACAAAATAAGGGCAGGGTGACTCCTAGAGCAATGGTGGTCGGGGTTTTGGGACCCGGGTGGTGCAACACCTGCGGTTGGCGGGTATGGCTGGCTGATGATGGACAATGAGCCAGAAGCTGCCATTCGAGTTTCCCTTGGCTTTTTTGGAAATTTTAATATGCCTACGCGACTAGCAGTTCTGAGGCTGTAGTGATCCCCCACTCCGCGTGCAACGCGCTCCTCTCGTGGCTGCTAGCAATTGCACAGGCACCACTACCTGCCTGCTCCAGTCCAGTCGGGCCAATCACCTCCATGAGGCTGACTCACACAGGACCTCACTGTGAAAACTGCCACGTTCACAGACGCTGGGCAGCGGACGCACACACGCTCGTCCGTCTAGTCCACCCACCTTGCGTCTCACTTTTTCTTGTCTCGCACGGAACCAGGTCTGGAGCAAGGCTCTTTCCTATTAGGGCTGCTGATTGGCAGGCAACCAACCAGGCTATTTCTTATTTAGCAGGACAAGCAACATCAGGGCAAAATAAATGTAAGCTGACTGATACTATTAGCGGCAGAGAAAAAGGGAGACTGAAATGGCCATCTCTGGCTTATTAGCTATCGTCGGCCAGTCACAGCCAGACCCAAGTGGCGTCCCATCCGAGCCTCGACTTCGCGATCTCTTTGATCAGAGTTGAACGTACTAACCATTGAGCCACGAGTTAATTGTATTGCCGGGTTAGGTCGAGCAATATTTACACTCATTGATGAACGTTCATCCGACTGCTAAAGGAACTCATCCGTCCCGCTCTGCCTGCGGTCTCGACGGAGTCTCTGACAGCACTCGTAACAGCTGGTAGTGTAGGCAGATAGTATTACCTGCCAATGACGGGCTAATAAGTTAGAAACGGCTACATTCCAGTATGCCGGTAATACTATCTGCGTTGTAACCTAGTGTCAGGTAGACGATTACCAGGAGCACAGAAGGCCAGCTGCTGGACACACTGAACAGAGTTGATGTACTAGTACAAGTGACAGTTAAGTACTAGTTGTTATCCTATTCTGTATTCTCTTCCTAACACGTACTGGGGGAACATAACCGGTGTTGACAC